GTTATTTTAGTAGCATAGCTTCTAACTAATCGCTGATTGGTTGGGGTTCTTTATGAGCCTCTGGAGGCTCTGATAGAGCTTACTGTAAGCCGACTTAACAAATTGTCTTACTGAGTCTTGCTGTAATTTACAAACCAGGAATAGTTGCTTACTATATTTAGTGCAGAATAAATAATGTGACATCATTTAAAATCTTTTCCAGTGATAAAGTTGCTTGAATTTTTTGTTTTCTTCTCCATCTAATTTCTGCTTTTCATTCTTCGATTTCATTCGCTTTTTGAAATTAGAATTTCTGTGTTTAGTTTTTCACTATCAATAGTATTGAAAATTTTATTCCTTAGCATTGGATATCTCAGTAGCATACACTTTAAACCCTACCAGGGATAGAATCCAAAACCTTCAGTTTGGACATTTGAATTAATGGGTCAATGTCTGATGGTAAAATTCTTATAGGGTGATGAACATCCAATAGTATTTGTGAATATTGTATCATTCCCAACATGCTTAAGTTCCATTAGTCACAACATCCCGCAAGTACCTCAGGAACATTTTAAAATAATCACTATTGAGCTGGCTATTATAGGTTAAGTGAACTAGTTCAGCGAGTTGGTTATATTCGTCACACATATGCGGCTATTTGTTTAAATGAATTTTCTTAGGAATTATTATTTTATTGAAACTTAGACAAGCAAACATTAATCCATTGAATATCAAGAATTTGAGAAATTTTAGTCTTTCAACAATATTCCAATCACTATTTTTTCCAATTTAACTGCTAGCGGATTTTTCTGAGGAAGGAAAACTGAGAGCAATCGGAATAACAACACAATTGAAAGGATGATGGAGTATGTATAGAGCATCCCGAGTAAAATGTGTGAATAATGTCTTCAATGCATGATTTTCGCATTTTACAAAGGCATAACGTTATGTTGCTCTAAGAACACATCGTTTTACCGTACCTAAGTTCTTATTTACTAAATTATGGCATGATAGTTTAACAATATTCTTAAAAATCAGGATTATTAGTAGTATGATGGTGTCTGAGTTTGTTTTTTTTACAACTGACCGATTGAATTATAAGAAAAGATGGCTAATGGCTAGCAGTGGAATCCAGTTTGACGCGCGTTTCGTTTTATTTGGGACTCGTCAGCTGAATGTACCTGCATCTCAAAGTTGATGTTCACTCTGGCACTCGAAGTCAGCACCTTTCGCTTCAAACGCCACCGCGTTATCCACTCAACTACTGAGTCCTAATAGCCACTTTCTTGTTCAATGGGGGTGAGCAAACAATACTAAGTGAATTTGACCGATTGAATGCTTACATTCGGTGATCTATACAAAGACTTACATATCTAATCATAACCAGAACTAATTACATCAATTATTATTTTCATACAGTAACTATTATATTACAATCAATCAGTGAAATAAGTTGTCTAATTGACCTACTCAAAAAGAAAACAATAAAACTATTTCGTCATTTGGTTTTTCAAGACAGACAGAGGGTGACAAAGAGAAAATTAGCTGTTACTCATTTAAAACATTTCTGTTTATTACATTAAACAAAGTTTCACTATAGAATATTATGTTGATCATTTAATTAAATTTACAACGACATATATGTATGTAGATGCAGGCACTCTTGATGAAATCAATGAACTTAGTATGGGGACCTTGATTGATCACATATTTTGTTTGTGTGTGTGTGTGTAAATACATTTCTTCATATATAATAATTCATTTGTATATACTTGTTTATATACATGTGGGCGCTTTCACTATTGTATGAGACGTTATTTCATAAAACTGAGTAAACATTTATCATGTAAAATTAATGCAACTTGTACATAGAACATCATTTCTATCAAAACAATCTTTATAACCAAATCTAAAAATAATCAGTCCTTAATATAACTATTATTATTAACAAACATCAGCTAGACAAAGGATATCTGTTTTTTTTTAGATGGTGGAGATGATTTATAGTTAAGGTGGATGATTCTAGTGAAGTTTTGTTCTTTGTTTCGTTGTATTTTGGAATTAATCTCTTTACACTATCATTGTGTGCAGATGATTTGTTACTAGTGTTACTTGAATATCTATCACGGTTTGATATTTTGATGTAGGTTTGTTCTCTGAGCTGGATGGTTTGGTCATGGAGCTTTCGTCGTCCTTCTGAACGACATCATCAGCACAAACTTCGGGTAGAAGTGAAGTGTTTGATGATGTCGTTCAGAAGGATGATGAAAGCACCACGATCAAACCAACTAGCGCAGAGAACAAATCTACATCAAAATCACTCACATGAGCTCCAAATCTTCTCCACCATCTCAAGGTTTCATATTATTACAAATTGTTAATGTCCACCGTAATGATAAAGGGATCAAAAACAAAATGTATACAAGAAAAACACAAAAAATTAATTGATGATGAATGCTAGTCAACTGAGAATTGATTAGTTTTCCTCTATCAACAAAGACTTTACAAAAAAGAGATATTAGTTCGCTTGAGTGATTCTGATTTCTGTTTACCTGGTAAATATTTTAAAAAAAAATAGTATCCAACACGATATTGTAATGACTGATGATCACTGAACACATAATTAAGGTTATTGAATAAATAAAAACTTATGAAAGCAAAATCCATTATCTCAAAGAAAAAAAGGCAATCATTAAAGGTAGACATCATTTGAGATTTGATTAAGAACCAGGATGTATTACGTAACTTTTTTCATCCTAGTCTATAGATTTATCTCCACTAAGGACAGAATAAAAGATTTTTAGATTTTTCGACAAGCATTTAATCTTTAGACCATCTAATTTACATTTCCAATCATATTATGTTATATCCCGTAAAGAATTATGAATGGTAACTTTTGAGGACTGTTTATGAACCAATATGATACATGTAATTCATATTGTATAATTGTTAAGTAACTAAACTATTCATATTCGTGTTCTTCTTATCATAAGCTTTATTTTGACTTATAGACTATGATTATACGATTTACCATTCTTGAGTTATCCCCAGTCTATCGTTTACGGTTCCCCTTATTCACAGCCACATTTGGCTAAATCTTGTACAAATGTTGTTTCCTATTTTATGGTAAGATGTGATCTGTCTGTTTGGTATATAAACCCAGTGTGTTTGAGAATAATGATTCATATTGCAGAGGCTGTTATTGGTGTTCTGGACTTAACTGTCTGGGATAGACAGAAAGCAGGACTGATAAGTACTGGAGACTGCTCATACGGCTTTTGTGTATCATTGCTCTGATCGATAATTCACTCCTCTCTAATAGACGGGGATCATCACGTCATAATACAAACAGGGCACACATACGCACGCACACGATATGACAATTAAAACATGGCAAAACTACCACTTACAGATGAATTTCATACCTGTAAAATCTCTTTTAACGATAAGATAGTCATAATTGTTTAAGATAGAGTAAACATTTTGAGAAACTGAAAATACTTGAATAGTTAAATTGATAAGAGATTGAATTTCCAAATGAATAATGATAAAAAATAATAAGCCTAGATATAAGAGTAAATCTATATGAAAAATAAATAGTTCGTCATAATGAACAGTAAGAAACTTGATCATACTTAAATGAATGATCCGGATCGGAGAAAATGAGTGAAAAAATTGTGCCGTTATCCTCTATTCTCTTACCGAAATATCAGTTATCTGAAGGGGGTTTTGTGGAAATTTTAGTATTTTTTTATAGTTGAGATCATAAGTCAATTGAAGCTAGACCATCATGGAAAAACTGGAAGCACTGGATGACCGTTTCGTCCTATTATGGGACGCCTCGGAAGTGCGCATCGATGATCCCGCACTCGCGAGATTCAAACCCAGGCCGTCCAGTGCTTCCAGCTTTTCCATGGTGGTCTAGCTTCAATTGACTCATGATCTTAACTATGAAAATACTGAAATATCCACAAAAACCCTTCTGATTTACAAATGTTTAGTTAAATTAATTATTTCATAAGTCATGCCAGTAGAAATAATCTCTCCTTGTTATTTTTTCATTATTATCTTTACCCTCATGTAGTCCTGATTATTCCTGGAAATTGATGTGTGTTCTGTGATCATTTTCAGAACATATCTTATTAAATCAATAATAATCAAAGGAAAGCGGTAGAAATAGTCAACTCGCCGTATGAACATCAAAAGTAATTAATGTTAAACGTTTGTAGGAATCTTATGTCACATAGTTGGAAGTAAACAATAAAAAATGATTTGCTATTTTACTTGCTTGAATTTATCACCTTTGAAGAAATTTGCACATCAGGTAGACTTAATTTAATATCCTTTAATATCTTAATCAAAATTATTAAAACCGAGGGCCTGGTATGGCTGAGAGTGAGGAGAGTCCTCCTTCTCTCTCGAAATGCTCTCACATGGCAACGCGTATACAGCCTCTGCCAGAAAAGTCCTACTCACTGCTTATTCGTGGGGCGGGTGTTGCTTACAAAGTCGAGAGGACAAAAAGCGAATGTCTGACGCTTTAACCGGGTCTGTGGACATGGAAAGTCCACCTAGAGGAGTTGAAAAACCCTGAATCCATACCAATGGTGCACATGAGCTACAGTATCCTGAGGGAACAAATGGCGTGTGTATCAACCGTTGGTCACCAGCTACCATGGAACTGCATCTCTTCACGATGCTCCACTGCTTTAGGGATCAGAACTTTAGGTCAAAGGCTTCGGGTGCGGTCCCCTAAGAAAACCACCTGCTTCAGTCTGGGCACTCGGGCAGTATCATAGCCCTCACACAATTAAATGAAATGACAATTATTTTGTGTGGCGCATATATACCTGGTGCCCCCTTGTATCAATATTTATGTGTTCAAATAAATAAATAAATATTCTATGGACTGGATCAAATACATAGGTCTTTCACCACTGTAATTAAACAAATTGATATCCATAATTTAAAACAGAATAATATAGATGAATAATTTAAATAAAGCAACATTATGAACTTACATATTCTAATAGATCCGATGCTCTAGCTTCTAATTCTTGCATACGTTCCTCAATTCTACGTATTGCTTGTCCAGCTTCTTCACGTTCTATTTCATATCTTTGAAGACAATATTGAAGATGATCTAGCTATCATTGAATGTTGATATTTTGTATTGCAGAAGAATGTAAAATAGAAAGAAAACAGGAAGAAGCAAAAATGAAGTGATAAAAATAGACCAATAAATAATTTTTTTGGTTTGTTGTTTTATTGAATAGAAGATTGACAAATCAATTCAATCTTTTATTTGAAATGTGTATGAATAACTTTATTCAAAGCAGGAAATAAACTTACCATATTTCGATTCTGTTTAGTAGTGGAATTTATGACATTTATATTCACTTAGTATTGTTTGTTTGGATCTTCCCATTGATGTTTTTAGGACTGCAACTGGTCAGTCTCTTATTGACATAAGTGCATACTGTGCGTATTGCCTTGATACAGCCTTAATTCACAAGCATTGTAAGCAAAGATGGATAGTAGCTAACAGTTCCAAATAGAATGAAACGTGCGTCCTGGATTCCACTGCTAGCCACTATCCATCTTTGCATATCATGACATTTATGTTTCGTTTTATTTAGGACTTATCGACTGGACTTCATTGTATTTTGGTAATATTCTTTACATTAGAACTCTAACTTAGTTACTTTTGCTTCAAAAATCCCCACGCTTGAGCCACTGATGCCAATATTCGGGAAGTGCTTTGAAGATGAGTATATACCAATGGAGACAGTGCATTTATTGTTCTTAACATCAACAACAGGAAAGTCCAAATACTTCCATGTAAAATCTTTATATATATACATATATATATCGAGTTTATGAACGTCAATTCAAGATGTTATACTTTTTAGAATATCTAAAAGTCTTCACTGAATCCTGACAAACAGTCCTACCTCATAACTGAAGTACTTTCTTATTCTTTTGATTTCTTTCTTAGTAGTTAATTATAATTTACATATAAAGGTAAAAAAGATGAATTCAACCAAATAGTTCTTACTCAATATCTATTCATTTTTATAGCTAAGCAATATAATAAACGCCTATTGCTCTATCAGCCTATAAACAAATTGTATAGTATAAGAATCTTAGTTTCTTTATAGGTCTGATCAGAAAAACTGACTACTTAGTTTTCAGTACACATTTGTAAATTCATTAGTTTATGAGATGGAAGAAATCTGTATATAAACATTAGGATGAATGTAATTAACCGAATAAATAAAATAAATAAAAATGATAAGAAAGTAGAATGAACCGGAATATTTTTGTATATGTAAGATTATAATATGAGAAACATATAAAGCAATGATAATGACAAGTTGATAATCAACTGTTGTCTGTCTAAACAGCTCTTGGATTAAAAGCAAAGATCGATGGTGGTTCGCTGTGGAATCCAGGACGCGAGTTTCATCCTATTTGGAACTCGTTAGCTGGATATACATGTATCTCAGAGTTGATGTTCACTCTATGACTCAAACCCAGTATCGTTCTCTTCAAACACCATCACGTTATCCCCTTAGCCACTTATACACTATCCATCTCTGCTTATAATGCTTGTGAATTAAGACAATATTGAAAAAATACACACAGTATGCATATATGCCAGTAAGAGACTGATCAATTACAGTCCTAAACATCAATGGGAAGATTCAAGGAAACAATATCAAATGAATTAAGCTTTTGAATTAAATTGTCAATGATTAAAGCTTCTATAGTGTAAATCGGGTTTCACTACATACCGCTTTCAAAATATGACTGATTCAAACAAAAAAGCTAGTATATTTTGCGAAGTTGCTATGCTCGAGATATTATGGTATCTCTTTAGTACTGGCAAACAAAGTGTATACTGGCAACGTAACAACAAGGCGAAGCTAAGCTATCCCTCTGTATCCCAGTTCTGCTAACTAGAGGATGAAGATCAGAGTTATCAGGGAAAGCATATAATTCCACAAGCAGACCGAAAGAACAAATGACAAACACTCAACACATGTGTAATATTTACAATACAAAAATGTCCTTGAAAAGCGTCACAACACAGCGTACTAAAAGAGGAAACGAATCAGTGACTTATAAAATCCTTTCAGGTGTGAAACACAAACTGAAGGTAATTATGGATGCTTTTGACGCGAAAATGAGAAATCCAAAATTCCTCAATTAAATTACAAACTAAAAAGTTTACCAGATGATTTTTGAAATTCCTCATCACAGTGTACTTGATTTTAATTGTCTTTTATTAATTCCAGCTGATATGTATTTTTGATCATACGAGTGTGGCGTTGATGAATAAATTACTCTCTTCTGATGATTATCTCATATCTTGACAGTTATCCACAATAGAATTTTTAATTTAATTGAAGCTTTATTACGTCAATCAGTATTTTATAGTTAAACCAATCGAAATTTTTTTCCATTCTTCTTACTTGGCACTTCGCCAGAATAGTTTCAACATTTGTATGTGTATGTGTATACACCTGTATTTTATAAATTATGAATTTCTATATTTTTATTTATTACTCAGGAGTGATCCGAGTACTGTCTGGTTCTTTAACTTAAACCTAATACTCTTTATTTTTTAGTTTATCCTGTAGCACTTCCAGTATTACTGCCGGTTCCAAAATAAACGTTATTCAGTCCTATGCGCTTAGCAGTGATAACAGTATGTATGATGAAGACCAGTTTTATGGGAGGTTGTAGTCAATCGTCAGGAAAATCTCAGGAATGGCACTTACCATCCAGATGAGAGACCTATACGTCAAGGTCTGAGTGGACAACATCGGATATGAAGACATCATGGGAGGAAATAGAATAGGAGAAAGGAAGGTGAATGTGACAGATTTGTAAATTTTTATGCATTCAACAAATTGGTTATGTGTGGCTCAATATTCTCACACAAACGCATACACAAAGCTTCATCGGTCTCATCAGACCATGTTACAGTGAAGCAGATAGGTCATATTTGCATTACTGAAATATTCAGAAGGTCAATGGATGACGTGAGAGCCAAGAGATGAGATGACATAGCTTCAGATCACCACCTGGGGTTTGTCAAGATGAAACTGAAGCTAAACAACGCTGGACAACTGGGGGAACAGCATTACAAAGGTTTAATACAGCACTCCATCGACATAATGACAAACTTAAAGAATTCAGAATAGTTTTGAGCAACAGGTTTCAAACTTTATAAGATCTACTAAAAGGATATAAAACTACTATGGAGAGCAACTGTAGAAGGATCAAAGAGGCACTAACTTCAACGTGTCATTGGGTGCTGGGCAGTAAGAAGCATCATCATAAGCAATAGATCTCTATGGGAACCTTGGACAATATTGAAGAAAGGAAGAACATGAAGACAGCAGTTAACAAAAGTCGAAAACAAGCAATGAAAACCTAGAGACAAGTCAAATACCTAAAAGCAAGAAAGAGGTTCAAGAGGAGAATTAGAGCGGACAAGCAAAAATACGTGGAAGACCTAGCGATGACGGCTGAAAAATCTGTAAGCGAAGAAATTATGAAACAAATATATGACACAACAAAGAAAGTGGTAATGAAATATAGTAAATAAGAGGGACCCGTCAAGGACAAAGAAGGAAAGATAATCATCGAGATTCAAGAACAGTTGAACAGGTGGGTAGAACACGTTTAGGAACTCTTGAATAGAACAGCTCGAGTTAATCCACCGGATATCGAAGCAGCACACACAAACTTTCCTATAGATGTCACTCCACTAAAGATCAAAGAAATCAGGATGTCCATTAGACAAATCAAGAATGAGAAAGCCGCAGGACCTGATAATATACCAGCTGAAGCACTGACGTCAGACATTGAAGTAACTGTAACCATGTTTTACAATCTATTCAAGAAGATTTATGGGGCAGGACAAGTGCCACAGACAGACTGGAAAGAAGGGTAGCTCATCTAGATACCGAAATAACAGATCTGAGAAAGTGCAAGAACTACAGAGCCATTACATTACTGTCAGCATTAAGAAAAGTTCGCAACAGAGTGTTGTTGTACGCAAACAAACGATTCAGTTAACGTTGAACTCCGAGATCAACAGACCGGATTCCATAAGGATTTGTCATGCACAGACCAAATCGCGACACCACGGGTTATTTTTGAGCAGTCAAATGAATGAAATTCGTCACTATGCATCAGCTTCCTTGACTATGAGAAGTATTAGACAACATGGATAGGAGGACTTTACGGAACATTCTTCGCCACTATGGTGTACTTGAGAAGATAGTTAACATCATACGGAACTCATACGGCGGTGGTGAAAGGAGGACAGATTCATTTCAAGGGAGGATCGGAGTCAGACAAGACTACCTACTCCCTCCTTTCTCTTTCTTCTGGTAGTTGACTGGATTATAAAACCTTGACATCACAGGGAAAGCATGGAATAAAATGGACAGGTTGGATGCAGATAGATGATTTGGACTTTGCAGATAACCTAGCCCTTCTATCCCATGCACACCAACCAAAGCAGGTGAAGATAGCCAGTATAACAGCAGCCTCTGCAGCAGTAGGTCTCCACATACATAAAATAAAAACCAAGAACATCAAATACAACACGGAGAACACCAACACAATCACACTCGTTTGGTAAACTCTGGAAGAGGCTTAAACTTTTACAATATCATGGCAGCATCATCGATCAACAAGGAGAATCGGATGCAGATGTGAAGGTAAGAATTGGAAAACTAAGGGAGGCATTTCTACAGTTGAAGAACATCTGGAATTCAAAACAACTGTCAAGTAATATCAAAGTCACAATCTTCAATACGAGAACATCAAGATGGTTGTACTGTGTGAATCTGAAACTTCAAGAACTACTACGACTATCATCAAAGACGTACGAATATTTATAAACAGTTGTTTACAAAAGATACTCAATGTCCGTTGACTTGATATCATCAGCAACAACCTACTGTGGAAGAGAACAAATCGGCTTATATGGGAAGAGGAAATTAGTAAATGAAATTATAGGTGGGTAGGAGATACCTTAGTTAAATCATCAGACTGCATCTCGAAGCACTCGCCAACTTGGAATTTTGGAGCGAAAAGAAAAACAGGTGGACCAAGAAACACA